CGTCAACGGCTTCAACGGTTTCAGCCAAAACCACGGCTTCAACGGCTTCAAGGGCTTTTCAAATTCACGGCTTCAACGGCTTCGACGGCTGCAACCAAAATTACGTATTGCCTCTGGACATCTCTGAGAACTTGAGAAAAGACTTTGAAAGCTGAAAGCACATTCAGTAAAGGTTTTACATAGCACGCTCAGTAAAGGATGTACACTGCGGACATCAGGAACCCAGAGTATGCAAAATCCTCAACTAGCTTGAGTGAGTGATTGAAAAAAGAAGGCAAATCAATGTCCAGGAAAGGAGAGCCACGAAGGGGGATTCTGGGATTCCGGGTGAACTTTGAGGAAGCCAGGGCCCAAGGATCGGAAAACATCTGATTAAATTAGAATCACATCTTGAGAATATACAGGAACCAAGCCTCATAATTCCAATATACAAAATTGGAAATGCAGTTGGTGAGCGGTTTGTATTCTATGCAGAGGATCAATGCCTAGGCAAGGAATCTCAAGGTGAAGATTTCCAGGAATCTCCTCCAATTGTGAAGCTTATCCCGCAAGTCAGGAACCCAGGATCCCAGAATTTCCGTTGAATTTTGGAAGACATGAAGTAAGGGAGCTACGCAAAGAGCAAGAAACCTCGGACGTGAGATTACTGTACCCTTCAAATTCGAAGCATCTGTGGTAGCAGGTCTATACCAATAATATCAAGCCGGGCCCAGAAAGGAAAAATTCCCGTATAAATATCGATGCTACGTTCTCCTCACCCACTGAAGACAGGTCATAAATTCTCTCAGCGGACGAAGGTGAGGGTGAGGAGCACATAGCATCGAAATTTATACGGGAATTTTTACCTTTCTGGGCCCGGCTTGATATTATTGGTATAGACCTGCTACCACAGATGCTTCGAATTTGAAGGGTACAGTAATCTCACGTCCTAGGCTCTTTGCGTAGCTCCCCTACTTCATGTCTTTGAAAATTGAAATTCTCAAGCATTCCAAATATAGATCTTCGGGAGGGGGGGGCGAAGGAAGCTGGGCACCTTAGCAGAGGG